CATGCATAACAAAATATGTTCTGCCTTTTTATTGATTAGCATTGCTATAATGTACATGTGATGCATTTGGAATCTGCAGCTGACCTACAGGGCTGCAAGTAATAAATACAGCTCACATGGTCACTGAAATGATTGACAGGAGCAGATTGTGTTTGTCTTATTGGTCATGACACCTGATAATAAAGGTAAATTTTGCTTTCATCACATATTGTGTCCTTTTCTGGCTCATTTCATCTCCCTTAAATCACAATCAAACTTTAAAAAACTAATAAAAATGCATATTCATTTCTGTCACAGCAGATTGCACATTGCTCATTTGTCCAGTACTCAAAAAATAGAGTGATTTGCCAACCACCTGATCTACTAGATACAGTAAGTGCTTACCCAGCTGCTACCCTGTTGCTGAACTCTTGCTGTCTTGATATGCAGCCAGATAATTTGTGTTCTCCACTTGTTTTTCCATTTCTTGTTTGCTCTTGTTCATGAAGATCTTCTGCCGGTTTTCAGGTGCACCATCTGCCTGTTGACTCCTTTGAGTTTACTGAATTTGACTGCCTTTACTTTTCTGACTGTAAGCTCGACTTTCATTTTTGTATTAAATTTGGGACATTTTTGGATACAATACTTGTGTTATTTATTTTTTTTATTTTTGTTGGGGTTTTTTCAAATATTTTGTGGTATGAGAATAATAGTAATTTGTGAAAAAAAAAAAGAGTCAAACAAAATGATCATTCCTCAATGATTGTAGGTTAGCAGCAGAAATAGTGCTATTGTGGAGGTATGTAAAGACGACAGAAGAGGTCTCAGTGTCTCACTCCAACTTTATTAACGGACTCAGCAGAACTCCACATACAAAAAGCGCCAAAATCTCCACCCCAGCGCTTCCCTTCAACTTGGGTGTGAGAATGACTTTATTTTATTTTCTGAGAAAATTATTAATAAACTCCATTTACTGTACAATGTATTCTCAGTTTAAAAAAGAAAACAATATCCATTACCAACCCTCCTCACTACCATGCATTTCAGT